CTTGTAGAATATTGGAGTAATATGTATCAATAATCTATTTTAATTAAATCCTGAACCAATTTCTTTACAAAGATATAAACATTCACAAACTTAGTATGTGGTTGGTCACACCGTATGACCAATCATCATGAGGGTTACTTCGTCAATGTTATAGGGATTACTCGGTCAATATTGGAAAGGTTACTCGGTCATTATTGCAAAGATTACTCGGTCAGTATTGAGAAGATAACTTGGTCAATATTGCAAAGATTACTCAGTCACTCAATCAGTGTTATAAGGATCACTTTGTTCTTTTATAAGCGGTCACATGATGTGGCCAGCTACACATAACACGTGATTATAAATATTTCTCCCCATTTTCTCAAAAAAAAAGCCCTATTCAATTTTGAAATCATTCTCTATATACTAGGTTTAGGGTTTCATTTATACAATCTCTGTTTCATATAAGATGATTCATTTCATTAGTCACGTTTGTCAGTGCATACTTTATAATGTATATCCTTTATTACATATTAGCAAAAATTACAAAAATTTGATATTTGATCTATACTACTGTTCTAAAGTGATACTTTTTTTCGAGGGAATTTCCTTTCTAAATCTCTTTTTTTATTTTTAATATTTTGTTAATTAATTTTTAGTTGATTTTTAAAATAGTAAATATATTTATATTTTCTAAAAAGCATATATAGCAAAATTATAATATTATTCATCTAACTACATCTCAATTATTAATTATTGAATACTTTATATTATGAACTACATCCATATTTTATGACCGTATTTCTCTTTATTATTGTTTTTTTAGTACTAAATATGTATTATATTAAAAAAAAAAGAAATAGATGACCAATGTGTATTAATTAAATATCACTACATTAATTAAATCCGAACATGACTCCGGTCTTAACTAGTTTAAAATATAGATGTTGAGACAAATCTAATTAAACCCCATATATATGATGATTATGTTTTTTTCATCACAAAATCACAAAATGAAGTCAAAACAAGTTATGTGAATAGTGCACAAAGTCAAACTGTGTCATCTAATTTAGAACGGAGAAATATTAATTTGGTTTTGAAGAAAGCTGGTAGGGTTTTGTTAAAAACGCCTTTGACTTTATAATTAAAATCTGGAAAGCAACGTCGATCTACAATTAATAAACGCCTTTGACTTCATAATAAAATCTGGAAAGCAACATCGATCTACAATTAGTAACTCTGGAGTTAAATTAAAAAAAAATAGAGTTAGATGGGGTTCTCAAAATAACATCTCAATCCATTTCATCATCTTAAAATGTAAGATGTGTAAGGTGCCTTTATTTAGTGTGTTTGCTAGACATACTATGAAGTACATGCTTGACATTACAATTTCACCACCTTAAGGTGCTTGTATAGTTGTATGTGATTTGTTGTGAAACAATCCTTGAAAAAAAGGCTTTATAGGGACAATAATTCAAATAAATTTAATTCTTGTACTAATTACCCCAAGTAAATTATCAACCAATTAAACAAGCCTTGCTTCAGCATATAAAATTATATATGGGGTGTGGTTTACACAAAACCAAGTACTCATAAGATCGATTCGCCCTAAAATATCAATTGTTTAGTAACCATAACTAACACACGCACGATACTGTGTTAAATATAGGTAAGACGTTAAGTTTATCTTATCTTTACTTATAAAAATTTGTTTTTACTAATTTTCTGTTATATTTTTGTATTTATTGTTAAAAATAAAAAAGCATAACTTTGTTTCAAAAAAAAAAATTGCATAAACAATAAATTATAAGTTGCTTTAGCACATATTTTTCAAAAATGAAGTTATCTATGTGTTGGAATGTTGGATGCCCCAACGATGGGGCTTCTCAATTAAATCGAAATTAGGCTTTTAGATTTAATGGAGGAAACTACGAAAGGAATGCCTTTCCCAAAGTGGATTGCTAAACATCGCCCGCAAATCTCCACATAAAGCCCACAAATCTATATTGAATTTACCTTATTGCCCTAAACCTAAAATAAAAAAATCTAACCCATACCCACACTCTAATCACCCGAAAATACGGCAATGTTGAGGCGGCAAGGCAAGGACTTGGCGGCCACAGCGGCGGAGGGAAGGACGGCTCACGGTGGCAGGGTTTTTTTTAAAATTTTTTTTTTTTTTTAAAAAACCAGAAGAGGTGGGGCGCCTGGCCAGGACGCCCAGCCCCTGGTGGTGGCGTCTGCTCCGGCCGCCGGAACCAGGGGGCTGGCGTCTGACCTGGACGCCTAGCCACGGTTGTGGCGTTTTCCAGAGGCGCCACCGCCGTGGCTGGACGTCCAGGTCAGACGCCAGCCCCCTGGTCCCGGCGGCCGGAGCAGACGCCACCACCAGGGGCTGGGCGTCCTGGCCAGGCGCCCTACCACTTTTTTTTTTTTTTTTTTTTTTGTCTAATATTTTTTTTTTTGGAAAATCAGAATTCTTTTGTTAATGTTTAATATTTTTGTTTTATGTGTTAATGTTTTTATTTCTAATGTATATATATTTTTTTTTAAATCAGAATTTTTTGTGTTAATGTTTAATTAAAAAAACAAAAATTTTAAATAAAATTTAAAAAAAATTACAAAAAGTTTAAATAAAATTACAAAAAAAAGAAAAAAAAATAAATAATAAATAACAAATTACAAAAAAAAAAAAAAAAATTACAAAAAGTAGGGGTGGCGTCTGGCCAGGACGCCACAGTCATGGTGGCGGCGTCCTGACCAGACGCCACCCCTACTTTTCGTAATTTTTCCCCCGGATTATCTCGCTTTCCGGCGACGATGACGGCTCTTCGGTGTCCCTCGGCGATCCACTCCAGCTCCACATTCTTCGTGAGAGTGAATTACGGTTTCGGTAAAAATTAGAAAAAGGGCAAAAGAGTCAAAGTAAAAATATTTGTGGGCTTTATGTGGAGATTTGCGGGCGACGTTTAACAAATCCCTTCCCAAAAGCCTTTTTTTTCTATGAACTTGAACCCCAATGTCATTGAATAATACTAAAAAATAATTTTTTTGGTTATATATACAAGTATGTGTGTAGTACGGAGTAAGAGATATTGTTCTATTGACAATTTGACATGTATCAATTAAGGTTTAATTCCATAACTTTAAGGTTGTAAAATACAATTTTTATTTTATTTTTTTAATTTTTTTAAAGTACAATTTTTATAATTGAATCCTATGTCACTAAGGGAAAAAAAAACTTGTATGCATTGTCTTATGGGGAAAAAAATATAAAAATAAAAAATTCTTTTTTATGATACCAACTTTACTTTGGCTGTAGAAACAAACTCTTTATTAGGGAGTACGTTACTGCACTCAACAGCAGAAATTATATTATTGTTAAGTGTAAATGTGTAATTCATAACTATGCTAATATTGTACTCCGTAATATACTAATATGTAGTGTTATGATACGAAAGAAAGTGTGAATTACAGTGGACTGAAAATAGGATCATGAGGTCCATGACAGATAAATAAGGAAAAATCCTTTACAAATTGGAAATGAAAATGGATGGAAGTGATAATAAGCAGTGGCGGATCCAGGATTCCGAATTAGGGGTAGCACTAAACGCATAGTAGAAAAATTAAAGGGACGAATTAACCAATATACACCTATGAACATGAAACTCAAACTAAATTTAATTAAGATGGTAATAACACATCAATTTAAAGTTTTTGCATAATTGTGATTTTGCATAATTAAGATGGTGATAACACATCAAGTTAATTCAACTATCTATACATTTTGCTATGAGTTATTATTGTGGATAAAATTATGCATGTACAACATAATAGCTATCAAAATATATATTTCATATTACAATAAAATAAAATTAGTCAATTTATCAGATATTACTAATTTTCTTCACGGACGAATAATCTATATATATATTTCATACTATTATTATTGTTGAACAAAACTTAATGGAAGTTATTTTTATGTAATGTATTTTAAAATGAATGTCAAGAAAGTAAAAAGTAATTTGGAAAAGAATCAAAATTTGCTGGAAGTCAATTTTATCTTATCTATTTAAATGTCAAGAAAGAGGAAAACTATTTGGGGTGGAAAAAAAAAAGCATTGATAGTGATTTTTTTTCAAAAAAAATAAAAAAATATAGACTTATAATAAACCAAAAAGAAAGTGTTTGTTGTAAAAAAAAAAATAAAAATGAGAAAAAATATGAGAAGAAAAATGAGCAAAATATTGAGAGGAAAAATATGGAAGCTTTAATTACTTGCTTTGTAATTAAAGAAAAAAAAAATGGAAAAAAATGTGCTTGGGGAGAGAATTGAACCACTGATTCCAGGGTACCTCAAAGGAAGCTTTAATTACTTGCTTTGTACCGCTGAAGCAAATTCAATATTCATGTAATATATGCATTGTCTAATAGTTATCAAGTATTTAGGAGGAAGGTTTTTTTATACATTTTTTTTTCGGGGGTAGCACGTGCCCCCCGGGTTCCAATGTAGATCCGCCAGTGTTGGAATTCCACAAGTGTATATATATATTGACACAAAAAGTATAATATTTTATATTGGATTACTCTTATTCACATCATTTATGTTTGTAGATCTATCTATATGAATGAATGTCGATAATTGTGTGCATTGTATGTCTATTACTGTGTCTGAACATGTTCACTACGTGTCATATAGTTACGTTAAGGCAAAGTTTATAAACTAGTATTCTTGCATTCTCACTTTTAAAACAAGGTAATGTTTGGTAAGAAACTAAGAACCTATTTGCCATACATTCAATTTGTCATGTGAATAATATAATTGATCACAGATTTTTCTTGATATTATAGCGACCAATCCTAGTTTCTGACCAGAAATATATGTATTCAATATGAAGTATGACTTTAGTCACTTTACCCATGACTTTTGAGTAGTTTGCAAAAGCACTTTTATTTGCTTTTTTTTTTTTTTTTTTTTTTTTTTTTTTTTTTTACAACATATTTGCTTCTATTATCAATGCTTTATTTTAATGAATATGCTCCCAAAACTTTTATCCCAAAATTTTAGCCAAGTATCATGTGTGTAGCCAGAGTCGACCTAGTTAGAGTGATGAATAGTCATGAGTTATACAAGATTGACAATTAAGTAATGACACGTTTTCAATTATATCTTGGTCCACAAAAACCACACTGTCATATTGACTCTGTTAAATGAGCTGTAGTCAACCATAATATCATTTTAAAGCTTCTATCTCATAACTTAATATAAATATATATCGTTGTTCATGAAAAAAAATTATACTTTCACACGCCATCCATAACACAAAACTTAAATTACCTCATATTTAGTAAGCCTCTTCTCCAATTCTACTAGGTTAGTTTTTTTTTTTTTTTTTTTTTTTTTTTTTTTTTTTTTTTTTTTTTTTACTTTCCTTAGATAGCTCTTTTCTTTTTTTTTCTATTTGAATATATGAACAAAGTAATTAATTAATCCTCCTTTATTACAGCAAACAACAATGGACCGTAATGCAAATAGGTCATCATCAGACCCTCCATTTGAAGAAACATACAAGAACCTCTTCCTAAAACACAGCATTAAACCACTCATCACCACCCCCACCACCACCACTACTATCGAAGAGCACGATTTACCCCTAATAGACTTAGGGCAGCTGGTGGCTGGCACGGCCAAAGAGAGAGAGCAATGCAAGACAGCAATCGCGGAAGCCTCTAGGGAGTGGGGGTTCTTCCAAGTGGTGAACCATGGCATATCGCGCCATATCTTAGAGGAGATGACCAAGGAACAAGTGAAGGTGTTTAGGGAACCATTCAACAAGAAAAAAGAAGATAATTGTATGAACTTAAGGCTATCTCCTGGAAGTTACCGTTGGGGTTCTCCTACACCAAATTGCTTGACACAATTATCTTGGTCTGAAGCCTTTCACATTCCTATGACTGATATTTGCAACACTGGTTCAACAAATATTGACAATTGCAATCCTCAAGTTAGCAATTTATGGTACGTAACAATTGTAGTGTTGCATTGCACCTTGACAAATTTTGCCTTTCAGAATATCTCTTTTTATTTGCAGCGATTTGACCATTCAATCTATTTATATATTTTAATTACTTTGAGTATTTATTGATTATTATTTAACAAGAAAATACATTCTAAAACAAGAAAATACATATAAAGAAATGCATAGTTATGATTTACATATAAAGAAATGTATAGTTATGATTGATCTTTGTAAATTTAATTTGTCGTGCACTACATATATATTTTAATGCTTCTGCTAAATACAAATTAAAGTTTAAGTGAGATTTTCTTAGATTTGTCTCAACATAGATTTTTAAAATTTCAAGTTCTTGTAGGTAATATCAATCTAATACTAGTATTAAAGATAATGATAGTTGAACTTAGGGCTAGTTCACATTTACTGAACTGAGCTGATCTGAAGTGAAATGAATTGAAATTAATATTTTATGAGAGAAGGAAATTAGGAGATGAATTGAACTAAACTAAACTAATTCGAGCTGAACTGAACTGAACTGAACTGAAATTAAGCTGAAGTGAACAGACCCTAATGTATACATGTGTTTATTAATAACATAAAATGGGCCTAAACAATTTAAACAAGGAGAATGAGAGTTTGATTCACAAAGCCCTATGAGATTTCATACTAAACCAATTGGTAACAATATTAGTAACTACCTTATAAAGTGTAACCACTCCTCCTAAGTGGATTTACAATGGGTTTTAAGCTCTTTTAACATTGATATTAGAAGACATGTCAAAAACTTAAGACTTAGGTTTCATTAAGGGTATGAATTTGATTTTCAATCATATGAACTTATTAACTGAACTAATAACTTAAACTCATATGAACTATTTGTAACCTATTTTAGTTGTAAATTGACTTTGAGTTAACTTAATTAATTCTTATTATTAGATGTTTAGAACTTAATTCTCTTTAATTTATCATTTCTTAACTTATTAGACTGTATTTGAACTTGTTTTATGTTGAAATAGGTGGACATATTAGCCTATTAGGGCCTTAAAAAAAAACTTTAATCAAGTGGAATGAAATTTTAGCCCTATGACCTAAGTTATGTACTATATTACACACAAGATACTAATAGGCATAATGATATTCTTTGTGTGATTCTAAGCTGGGTTAGGTGTTCTTAATCCTCACCTCATTTAATATTATTATTTTTCCAAATTACAAATTATGCGATATGACGTTCATCTTTTCAATGCTGGGGTTTGCCTCCAAAAATAGCGGATTTTCTTATCCTTGGACTTTGTAGATTAATAAGATAAGAAAAGTAGGAGATAGAATGCCACAAGAATTTCTTTGATGAACATACCAAGAAAAATATCAATCGTATTGTGGGCAATTCTAAAGTGTTATCCTTTTGTGGATGACACGAAAACTTACCAAAAAGGATTACTTTATATTATAGAAACTTCATTTGTGTGGCTTGCTTTCTTGTTGAACACAAAAGTTACATTGATTTGAAACCAATATCAACACCCTATCAAAGTCACAACTTTTTTTTTTATTAAATTTTCACGATTTGTTTAATAGCTAGGTGATAGATCAAGAAATGTACTCGTGACGTAAATGTGTAAGAAAAGTCTTGTCTTAAGAATTATGGTGAAGCTAATTCACTTTAATCTTCTCACTTTCATCATTAATCTTCATTTACATTTGTTAATGGAATATCGTGGAAGAAGGAAATTTTGTAAAAAACATTTAAAAGTTTGGTGATGAGGTGACACTATTATGATTATTTTATTTATTTCATATTACGCTTTCACATGGGCTATTAAAGTGGCAAAGTTATAAGTTTTTGTCGACACTTAAATGTCATAAGCTAAAAATTTAAATCAATTGTTTATATAGAACTTTGTTCTTTAAGTCTAGACTAGATATTTCTCTTATCAGGTATGCCAACATCGTAGAATGTAAAAAAATACTACTACCTATTTTATACTATATTCTCTGAACAACAGTATCATTTCTTTTTATGATAACGAGTCAATTGGTTAATTACATTTTTTTTTAAGTCCATAAACTCCTCCCCAAATAGATTATGTCAATGCCACCAAGTGTAAAAAGGTTTATTTCTTTGTATAATCTAAACACCTATCTCTTTTCAAATTCTAAACAATTCAACCTTTTATCGATGTTTTGAACTATTGATACATCAATCTACAATGTGAACTTATTCTGGTCATACATACCTGGCCTATCTTTGGAAATTATGCTTGCAACACTTATTTTATAATTTATCCATTATCACTTTTTATAAACCCAAACTATTGCTCAAAATCTCTCCTTCTAACTTGAATGAAATACAATTATGCAATTAAAATATATAATAATGAAAATTCCGGAATCATCAATCATGATGTGGAATTTATTGATTTTTTACTTGGAGGAGAGGAATTTTTTTTTATTAAATTATACTTTCTTTGTTCCAATAATATTCCAATAAGGATGAAATTACGCATTCTAAAACCCATTTTATATACTACCTCCGTTAATTATTATTTATTATTTGCAACAAAGGAATATTTTATATCTCACAAATAATACCTCCTTGTTGCAAATAATAGTTAACGGAGGTAGTATATATGTATTTTATGAGACAATAGGATTTCAAATAACTATATTTTGCTTTACGTATAAATTATATTATATGGTCAAATAAGAGTAATAAATAATGCAAAAGTTTCATTGGGATGATTTACGAAAGTATGGTTATTTTAAAACTTATTTACACTTTTGCGTCGGAATGAAACTTAATTACGAAATTACTGTCCATGTAGGCTCGGATAAGTTTTTATTTTATTTTTTTATTTTTCAAAGTAAAATCGCTACCTCAGGTAGCGGTTTATGTTTATGTACTAAAACCGCCACTTGAGGTAGCGGTTTTACCCTTCATAAATTGATTAAATGTATCTTTACTAAGAGTACTAATGACAAACGGCTACCTTAAGTAGCGGTTTTAGACTATAACTGCTACTTAAGGTAGCGGGTTGTCTCTAAAGAAAAAAAGTCCCCCAAATATATCTCCAAGCCTACGTGGACTATATTTTCGTAAATAAGTGTCATTCCAATGCAAAACCGTAAATAAGTTTCTTAAAAGTTATATTTTTGTAAATGATCCAGTTTCATTGCTGTAATGTAATTGAAATGGAGGAAGTATTTATTTTTAGCTTTTTATATTGATGAAAAATACTTTCTACTGTCTAGTAACAGCTGGTCAGGTCAAAAACTCCAAACTAGTAGGATCTTCATGATTTTCTCTTTAGCCTGGAAAGTGGGCTTTGGCCTCACGTGATACTCACCACTCCCATAGTTGGGCCTCACGTGAAACCACGTGAATTTCACAAGGATTGCAGAAAAAAATAAAATCAAAAATTACTTTGTAGGCCCGGCCTTAGCTTTGGGCCTACAGCCAGCTACACTTTGCTCTCAAGATCTTAGGCATTTAGAATGTTGTCCTTTTCATTTTTTCATTGACTTGAGCCCAGCTGAATTTTTTACCCCCCAAAAAACAAATTTGTTTTCAATGAATTAACCTAAGTTATGTTTGGGAACCATTTTTTTAAGTTATAGTATGTGGTGACATAGCCAACTAGGTCAACTAGATACACTACTTTAATTAATATGGCCAACGTAATAGCTCACGGATGACGAGCCAAACTTCATATTTTAACTTACTTTGTCAACATTATAACAAACCAACTTTAATATCGTTTAATAATAATTTTTAAAGCAAGTTTATTGATATAAGAATGTCTTTCATATTTTGCATTTCTTGATATTTTTTTTTTTTTTTTTTGCAGCTTAACAGTAAAACAATTTGCCATCACAGTTTCTGAATTGGCGAATAAATTAACAAATATACTAGTAGAAAAATTGGGGCATGAAGAACTAACCTTTTTTGAGGACAATTGTTTGCCAAATACTTGCTACCTACGGATGAATAGATACCCACCATGCCCTAAATATTCCCATGTCTTTGGATTGATGCCACACACAGACAGTGATTTCCTCACAATTTTATACCAAGATCAAGTTGGTGGATTGCAGCTTGTTAAAGATGGAAAATGGATTTCAGTTAAGCCTAATCCAGAGGCTCTTATTGTCAATATTGGCGATCTATTTCAGGTAATTTTTTTCTCTCCTAAAACCTAATGATTAAAGCACACTTGATCACCTAGAAATAACTTGATTTAAGGTACTTGGATACTTTGTATGACCTATGTCATCTACTAATATGAAATTCAAATACATTTTAATTAAATTGATGTAAATAATTTTGTAGGCTTGGAGCAATGGTGTGTACAACAGTGTGGTGCATCGAGTTGTCGCTAATCCAAGACTAGAGAGGTTTTCGACAGCGTATTTCCTTTGTCCATCTGGTGATGCAATCATACAAAGTTTCAAGGAGCCTTCAATCTATAGGAAATTTAGCTTTGGAGAGTATAGACAACAAGTTCAACAAGATGTTAAAGAATATGGTTATAAGATAGGACTTTCTCGCTTCCTTATATGCAACTAGTAATAATTTTCATATACAAAAGTATATAGATTAAGGAGATTATAAGTTTTATACGAAGTATATTGTGGTACGTACGTAAGGATTAGTCACACTACCAAAACTCGATTATTTTTAATTTTTTTTGTCGTAAGTGTGGCAAAGAACTCTTAGCTTATTATTGATGTTCAAGCCACACACGCTAAGAAAGATATATTATTTACCGATATAGTGGATATAACTTTGTAGTAGTACTATTAATTTTGCCTAAGAATTGTTGGCTTTTCTCAATGATTTTGGTATAGGCGTGTAAAAGGAATATATATGCATGGTCCTATTAATTTTATTTGCACTTTTTCCTTAGCCCTTTTTTGGTTTTAATTTTCTTAGATATTATGTACTAGTGTTGTTTCATTAGCCCTATCACATGTGTTCTATAGGATTTGAGAAAGAACAAATTTTTATTCAGTAAAAATATTAAACAAGAAAGCATGCACAGATTTGACGTGGTTCACAAATAACACGTTGACTACGTCCATATGACCATATGCAAGCAATCGAGAGTAATAGCTTTATTGATCTTGAAAGAAAACAAATTACAATCAACAAAAATAGAATGATAACTCTCAGACTTCTAAACCTATTTATCTCAAAACTCACAAATGGGACATACAACATAGAACTCTTAGATTTTAGAGTTTATATCATCCAGGATTAACCGTAAGAAGGGATATACATATGTAGTTCTTAAAATATGAAATACATCCTACGAATAACGAAATAAAATCCACGTGAAACCAACCTAAACCTGCCCAAGCATGGGCGTCTCACATAAGGCATGGGTGGTGTTAAATTGTGACTCGAAATCTAGTAGGGCTGACTTTGAACGATTATATCTCTCAAACTACAACTGATTTTGAGATGATTCAAAATGGAGGTGATATCTTGGTTCAAGAGCTTTCCAACTATAGGTCATATGCCCAATTCCGATAAGAAACGAGAAAGTTATGACCGTTTTACAAAACCCTGACGAAGCTGGAAATTTGCAACGAGGCTGCGAGCTATAGCTCTATGCGAGTGAGCTATAGCTCGGCCCTATGAGGACTTGCGGCAGACATGAGCTAGCTGCCGAGCTATAGCTCGGTAGTTAGGTTATTCTAGGATAATTGATGGAATATTTCCTAAAATTATATCTTTTCTATGGCGGCTATTTGAGTATACTTGGGGAACAATCTTAGGGTTTTATTAGGCTTTCAATTCCTTGTGTTATAAAAGGACTCTTTAGTTGATCAATTAGATAATACCTTATTGAGCCATTAGATTTAGGACTCCTTGTATTATTCTCTCGTTCTTTCTCCATTATAGTGAAGAAGCTCTCGAATCCCCCACCCGTGGATGTAGGTCTATTTTGACCGATCCACGTAAATCCTTGTGTTGTTTTTTTTATCTTCTTTATTGTTTTTTTCTCCGTTCTTAATTTCATTGACTTGTTCCGCATTAATCAAACATAATTACACCCTAATTTCCTAACAGGTGGAAGTGTCTTTAGCTCTTAATCCACAATGAGGCAAAACTAGTAATCCAAATTTACAAGGTTTGATTACAAATAGGCAAATAGTATTTGTGGGCTACTCTATAGAAATAGAAGAGTTATGTGACATTTGATTCGTATTTTCGAACAAGTACTATTTCTGGTCGTGCATTAGTGTGTTTGTGATTGCATATTCCACAACCACAAATAAAATAAAAGTGTGGATATTTAATACAACTATATACAAGCAAGTTACTAAAGTACATGTGTCGATTTTTTGCGAAATATGTTTTTAGTAGAGCAGGCCCTTCTCGCAGCCTAGGTTAGGGATAATGGTAAATATTATTCGGTACACTATAACTTTTTACTTCCTCTGCTTTTTTCATACTTACAACACATTTTTTATAACCCTTATTAATAAGATGATTAAATTAGGTAAACGAATGAATTAAGCTATGAAATTTGAACCGTAATAACTTATTCCTTTCTTCTTATGGGTGTTAAAATTTTGTAAATTAATTTATCCGTTTACATAGTCTAATATCTTCCCTAACATGCGTGTCAAAAGGGTGTGTTCTTCTTATGGGTGTTAAAATTTTGTAAATTAATTTATCCGTTTATATAGTCTAATATCTTCCCTAACATGCGTGTCAAAAGGGTGTGTTGCAATTTAATAAAAACGGAGGAAGTATATACGAAGTATTAGATGTAATGTATACCTGTTCGAACTATGATCATACGTAGTAGATAAAATCTTGCAGATAGGCATATCTTTTATTCAAAGGATGTTTGATTGTACCATGTCTGATGTCTCCCCCTTTAAAACTTTATTTCCGAAAAAATAAATATTTATTATTTTGTCAAATTATAATGTTCTAAACTTGGTTTTGTACGGAACACTTGTAATTCTTCCCACATCTGTCTTCTTTTATCGTAACACACTTTTCGGACACTATTACTACGGAAGGTAAACGCTTGATTATATCAAAATAATTTGAGCACTGGGAATAGGGAAGGATTATTAGCTAGCCAATGCGTAAAATAAACTAAACTTCATTCATTTGTTCATTTACATTGTATAATCTCAATCGAATACGAAATGCGTTATTTCCTCCATTTTTTTCCTTTCTTACAACACAACCTTAAAATACGTTGTTTTGGGAGGTAATTAGTAAAAGTGAACATACAATTTTGCCAAAATAATTTTGACACTTTGGGAAGGTTCGTTTAAGTAATATGTGTATAACTTATTTGATTATCTCGTCTGTTAATATATATATATATATGTATGTATATATATATATGTATGTATATATATATATATAGTGTTCTTCGATCAAACTATAATTGTAACATTGGTTTAAACTTAGGCTTTGTTCATTTCACCTTAAAAAAGAATATTAAGCATAAATAATTTCAGTTCATTAAAAATAAGTTTAATTCAGCATAAGGTGAAGTAAACGAGGCCTTACTCTCGAGTCGTTAAGAAGATGTAACCCAAAAATATATATATACCCGTGCCTTTATTTTTAATCATGAACATATATCTTATTTTAAATAAATGGGAACATACCCTTATACTTAATTATTTATAATCCTAAGGTGTACATATAACATTACTTACAGAAAAGTTATAAAACCATATTTTTGATATTGTAAATTCACATCATCATCAATCTTTTGTTTTAGTGAGGAATAAATATAACACGACACAAAATATTTTTCATTTGCGTTCCATAACTTTTATCCCATTTAGCCATGTGTGTGGCTTAGTATTTCACATATATGGTCCTCTATGACATTTCAATTTGGGAGTTTAGCAAAGGTCACATCCAACAAATTCATTGGACTACGACCTACTAAAAGAAGTATTATCCCACGTGAAGGCCCAAGGCCCACTTTAACCTAGTTTGGCCCACACGTCGTTTTATCCTTACGAATTATCTTTAATGAGCGGTATCCAACTGTAATACAACCCTCAAGGTTTCTAAAAAGATGTATAAATAGCTATCGATTCTTGTGAAAATTTCCCTCTCCTTAAATTACATGCAATCCACACATAAAACTTCTACTGACTCATCTTCTTATTAGCCTCATCCATCTATAAAGTTAGTTTTTCTCCTTAAATTCCTTCTCCTTTTTCTATTTGAATATGATCAACGTACTCTACATCTTCTTATTGTAACTAGTAAGGTCTTTTACTATTATACTAGCTCCAATCGTTATTAACTTGCCATTTTGATCACAAATTCTTATGAAGTACGTATTGTATTATTAGTTGAATATATTATATCTCCATCAATATCTTTTAGTTTAACCTATTTGTCTATCTCTATCCATCCAATGTCTATATAGTTTATACATACATACGAATTACATGTAAAAATCCAACTATATAACAAGATTTTAGAGGTTTTTTTTGTTTGTTTGTTCTCGTACCATTTAAATTTAAACTCTTATTATACATGTATCAACAGGAAGCAACAATGGAACATAATACAAACAACTCAGAACCTCCATTCGAAGAGACATATAAGAATCTCTTTCTCAAACACAACATTATTTCACTACCCCTCATAACCACCCCCACCACGAACACAATCAAAGTGCACGACTTACCCCTAATAGACTTAGGGCAGCTGGTGGCTGGCACGGCCAAAGAGAGAGAACAATGCAAGATAGCAATCGCGGAAGCCTCTAGGGAGTGGGGGTTCTTCCAAGTGGTGAACCATGGCATATCGCGCCATATCTTAGAGGAGATGACCAAGGAACAAGTGAAGGTGTTTAGGGAACCATTCAACAAGAAAAAAGAAGATAATTGTATGAACTCAAGGCTATCTCCTGGAAGTTACCGTTGGGGTTCTCCTACACCAAATTGCTTAACACAATTATCTTGGTCCGAAGCCTTTCATATTCCTATGACTGATATTTGCAACACTGGTTCAACAAATATTGGCAATTGCAATCCTCAAGTTAGCAATTTATGGTACGTAACTAAAACTATTGCTTCGTTCTTAACTATTTTTCTTTAGATAGTGTACCTTTTCTTAGTGTTGTGCTACCCTACAAAATTCATGATCAAGTACGTTATTGGTACATGCTCATGCATGCATTCAGATCAGATCATTTTGGTTGTTTATTTATTTATAATGTGTACTTGCGGCTTTAGGCTTACCATATTTTTACTTATTTTAATTTATTAAATATTTGGTTCAAATATTTTAAGTTTTAGAAACCTAAGTTAAGATAGGTCCAATTAAAGAAAATAAAAATTGCTCAATTTCTTCAAAACTTACATTAAATATTTTCAAATTAAAATTAATTAGTTCACCAAAGTTAAGTATAAGCATTTAATTTACTCTTGAAAATTGTTTAAATTTAGAAAATCATGACAAAAATACACTAATTACACCGATTTGCGCGTGTTTTTGTCATGAATTCCTAACTTTATACATTTTCCAAGAGTAAATTCAATGCTTATATATAGCCCTAAGGACTATGTATAGCATTACCCTTAATTTAATTGGTTTTAAAAAAAAAGTAATTAGTTTAATTAGGAATTAAAAAGATAATTCGATATGATTATTTAAGCTAAGCGTAAACTAAACCCTTAAAAATTATAATTCTTTGAGAATGGATTGTGGTAAAAAGAGAGATAGTAGCAAAAAGATAAGTGAGTTTATTTGATCAGTCCTAGCCTCGACTGGGCGGGAGTGTTTTGTTTAGAGAATCGAAAGAGATCAGAGGTTTGAGCTCAAAATTCTAATTATGAAAAAGTTAGCTATATATATAGCTTTATATTTTGAAAGATAGGATTTTCAATTTACAGCCCGTCTCGTGTATGGCTAGCTATATCGTGTAACCACTAATAAAAAAACAAAGTAACCTCTATAACACTGACCAAGTAACCCCTACAACATTGACCAAGTAAGTAAGTAACCCCTGTAATACTGATCGAGTAATCCCTTTAACACTGACTAAATAACCCCTTTAACACTAGCTGATCAAGTAACCCCTATTACACTAACGAAGTAACCCTTATAATGGTTGGCCACACCGCCACACCGTGTGGCCAACCACATATAAGACTTTGTGTTGAATTTATGTTTAAAATATGTAAGCGGTGTGGCCAACCACATATAAGACTTTGTGTTGAATTTATGTTTAAAAAAAATTAAGTGATTAACATACCCTATCCTATATTAGTCATATTATATCCTTGTAAGTCATTTTATTTCTTAAAAGTAGCTAGCTAGCAACTAACAATTGTTCCCTCTATTTTTAATAGTTGACATGTTGTTTTGACCTAACACAATTCACATAATTAACTTTTCCTTCATTTTGTGATTTATACTTAAATAACAAATCAGTCTTGTACACTTGTAAAATTCGTCTTAATAATCTACAAAGTATATATTATGTTTATAATTTTTGCCTATTATTAAGTGTAGATATTAAGTTTGAAACCATACATAATATTAACAAATGTACTTATGAAAATGTGATGATTAAAACGAAACGAAATATATATTTAAGAGGTTTTTTATTTATTTATTTATTTATTTATTTATATATAACCAGCTAACACAATTAACGCACTAAAAGTTAGCAGCTAACTCAAACATCAAACGACTAGCATTTAATCTCTAATTGTCAAACCGATGCTACATAAAAATTTGTAGAGTATATAATGTCGATAGGTAAATTCACAAACCAAAAATAGTTGCACATTAAGTATAATTACATATAATGATCTTTCTAGTGATAGGAGGTTAGGTTCACAGTACAAATTCACTAAAAAGGCGGGTGTATGTTTTTTTTTTTTTTTACACAACGGGTGTTTGTGAATTTATTGTAAGACGGGTTGAAGTATTTAAATTTATCCTTTATACTACAAAAGTTATTATTTTCAAATATTAAATATGATCTTACAAAAAACTTATTATGTATTAAATAAATCATATTATCCTTTATAATATGTAATCATGAATTTTTTTTAAAAAATTATACATTAAAATAACAACCAAACGAAAAACAAATTAAATCAAAAGTTACCTTGAAAGGGATTAAAATTACCATAAAAATAGTTAAACACCTTAAAGTTACTATCAAACTAATTGTCTTATAATAAAATTAACGTACACCCATCTTGTATAAACTTATTGAATTAGATTAGGTTAGGTGTTGGATAATTCTCGTCTCATTTTAAATGATAATCCTAACCACAAATTGTGCGATATGACGTTCATCTTTTCAATGGATGGGCTTGTCTTCACAAATGATTAAAATCAAACTGAATATTCTTACCTGTGGACATTGTAGGTTAAGATAAGGAGCAATGAATGTCCCAAGTACTTTATTTGATGAAGAATTTGACAATATTTTTTTGTAAAGTCTTAACTTTTTATGGATGAGACAAAAAAACTGTCAAAAGTGTTTTCCTTATTTCTTGAAGCTATATTTGTACGGCTTTATGATTATTATTTTTTAATAAAATAAAGTACTCCTTAACCATTGTACTTTTCATTTTTTTAATAAAATAAAATAAGTTTTGATAAATATAATAATTTTATATAAGAATAAATTCAGATTAATAAAAGTTTATATTACAGCTATAAATTTTAATAAAGTTAATAAGTAAAATAAAGAATATAGAAACAGACTTTTAATTTTAACCCCCCTTTTTATGCAATTTTCTCAAAATCATGACTTAAAGCTTTAAAAGCATTATATTGTTGATTGTATTCAATTTTTTTTTTTTTTTATTGGTTGAATCGAAGTTTAATACCTCTACCAAATTAAAACTCTTAATTTTCAAACCTAGATCATATCAATGTGATCAAGTGGTGAAAGCAACCTAATAAATTACTCCGGTTATTCTCTTGTCGATTTCTAATGTCAAAGTTTTCAATAATTTTGTTTTTTTATCAATTATATTTAATTTATTTTTGTTATTATAAAAGTGCAAACTACAAAGTAAACTTCCTCATAATGTACCCATCTTCAGAAATATGCACATTTGTATTTTAAAACTATATTATATACAGAAGTACAAGTCAAGGCCTCAAGGGGAGGAGAAGGAGTGAAATATTCATTTCACCTTCAGTTCATTTCAACTTAATTCGTTAAATATGAACAAATCCTTAATAAATGGTTTTTTTTTTTTTTTTTTTTTTTTTTTTTTTTTAAGTCATAGGTCAAAATTATATCACAAAATGTTTTAAGTTTTCAAAAATCAACCAGAGCACGCACACATCCGCGGCATCGCGTGCACAGATTAAAAGACTAGTAAGAAATTATTGGAAGTGCATGTTTTGGACAGTAATTGCTAGAAATTTACACCATCCAACTAATTAATCATTTTTAAATAAAAGGACATCATGTACGGAGTAATAGATAATTAGAAAAAGGCAAAAGCTAATGAGCGCCCCTGAGACGTTAGATAAGAGAATTAATTAAAGTGTAAATATTAGAGTAAAATTAACATTAATTACACCAAACGACGCGTGATTTTGTCATGAATTCCTAACTTAATATCATTTCAACCAATATAATTTATCCTTATCTAACGCCCCGGGACGCTCGTTAGCAAGATCGTTAGAAAAATACCATTTATTTTGTATTAGAATAACACACCTATCTATAAATTCACCTAATATTAGGGTTTATATACTACGTACGTAATTAATATGATTATTATTTTTTTTTGAAAACATTAATATGATTATTTTTTTAAAAAAAGGTTTTAACTTGAAAAAATCAAAATTCAAAAAAAAAAAAATGAATTCTCTCAAATCCTCGTGGCACTATGCTATTGATTGGATAAATGAAACAATTTGTTGGGTACCTCCATTGTAAACTCCATCGTCCCTTAGCTTACATTTTTGAGTAGTCGGCAAACTTCCCAATTGAGTAAAGAAGGTGGCCTACAATGTAGGTGTTCATGTCAATATATTGTTAGTAGGGTACATGGAACTAGTTCGAACTCAAATTACGGGACACGACAAATTAGCCAGCTTAAAGCCATCTCCAATGTATTAAGTATTGGAAGACACTATGATGATGTTTTCAATAGTCTTAAAGAGGGCCATTATTGGTATCTAAAGCATCACAATTTAATTTTTTTTTTTCCTCTTTTTTTCTCTGGGGAAAGAAAATTTATAAATCATGGTCGTATATTCTTTTTATTGCACCACAAGTGATTTCAAGCTTGTCAATGCATTTTTTTAGCTATGAATATCTTCAATTATACTTTTGTAAAAATTATAAAAAATTGATATTTAAAAAGAACATTTCGAGATGAATCTAACTAGATCCTACATGATTATATTTTTCCAAATGGATCACAAATAATGGTCAAAGAAGATTAACTGAATAGTGTAAAAGTTCTAATAGTGCAATAAAATAAAAATGGAGGAATTATGTGCAACAAAGATATTAACATGGATTTTGAGGCATAATCAATAATCAGGATAATCAAAGCCTAGTTTACTTATAGTTAACTGGACCATGAAAATGAGAAATGAAATTCCAAAATAAAATGAAGTAAAAATAAAAGAGAGTTTCAAACAGTAAAAACTAAAAACCTTACCTTGTCAAAAAAAAAAAAAAAAAAAAAAAAAAAAAACCTTACAACTCAAAAGACAGATGTATAAAGCACTATTTATTTATTTATTTATTTTTTTTTATTTTTTTTTTGTGTTTAGAGAGCCACAAGGGCGGGGGTGAGAATCGATCCCAAGATTTTTTGGAATTGGGAGGGAAGCTTTAACCACTTGAGCTACCCCTCACTCTCATAAAGCACTATGGATATAATGATATTCGTGCAATTAGCCAACTAGCTACTCCCCCGTCCCATAATTAAATTCACGTTCTTAATTATGTAATGTTTCACCAATAAAGTATGACGTATTTTTTTTTGCTTCAAAAAAAAAGTATGACATATTTTTGAAACGGGGCGGTAGGTTCTTGCAGTTGCTCTATACGAGTATACGTTGTAAAAGACTTCGTCTCCCTAATCTTAAACAATCAACCAAAGTATTGATTTTTAGCAAGGGAGAATGTGGTATTAGCTTAGATGTGTACTTTTATGTTTTTTAGCAGGAGGTACGTGGACATTGTAACACATGTTGCAGGCATGCTGGCATGCTTGTTTACCTGTTTAGTGGTTTATAACCAAAATCAAAGGGCACTATCTATGTTGTGAAAAAAGTTCACATGTTATTGTTAGGATGTTAACACTCCAAGTCTCCAAGTCCCAAGTCCTACCATCTTGTGACCAGCTGGTATATATACTACAGTTGATATTGGGTCGTGTTGGTGACTAATCAAGTATTAAGCATGGGTTTTGTATGATTTGTACTAAGACATTATGAAAGTCCCAAAGTCGCATAGTGGCATAGGTACTACATGAACTCGAAGTAGGTTAGGTAGTGTTATGCCACCATGACATTAACGACGAGGTTCGATGACTTTATCATTCTTACCATGTAACATGACCTAGTAGACACAGTGCTTTACTGGTTCTAGTCTCCTAGACAACTATTGATTGGTTTTGTGCTACTTATTGTCTAATTAAAACCAGTGTTATTTCATCGATTATATGTTGAGTTGATACAAATGACTTAACTGTCATTTTTACTCATTTTTGTGTGTTTTTATCTTCGATTCTTTGTTATCCTTTTATGGAACACCAATGCTCGTATGGACTGACCGTATAAAAGTATATAAGATCCTCAATGTATTCCGTATTGGATAAATGGCTTGAAAGTGGGCCTGGGCCTCAGGGAAAGGTTGGGCCTCACGTGAAGCCACGTGAAGTACACCGAGTGCAGCAGGAGGTAGGCCCTTATATTGGGCCCACAGTTTTTTGCTTTCAAAATCCAATCCAAAGCTTTTTAAATGTGTCCTTTTCAATTTCTGTTTTTAGGTAATGATACTAGTGTAAAATAACTACTTGTATTTGTTTCAAAAAAAAAAAAAAAAAAAAAAAAAAAAAAATTAACTACTTGTATTATATTAGTGTAAAAAAACTATTAATAAGATAGATCTGAATGGCCTTAATTGAATAACTCTTTGTCTATGAGAAAACTAACATCAATGTATATATAATTTTTCTCCTTTCTCTTGTATGCAGCTCAACGGTGAAACAGTTTGCCAATATTGTATTTGAATTGTCAAATAATTTGGCAAATATATTGGCTGAAAAATTGGGGCATGATGAATTGACCTTTATTGAGAACAAGTGTTTGTCAACTACTAGCTATCTAAGAATGAATCGATACCCTCCATGCCCTAAATATTCTCAAGTTCTTGGCTTGATGCCACACACAGACAGTGACTTCCTCACAATTTTATACCAAGATCAAGTTGGAGGATTGCAGATTATTAAAGATGGAAAATGGATCTCAGTTAGACCTAATCCCGAGGCCCTTATTGTCAATATTGGAGATTTATTCCAGGTAACTTATCCTTTTGATTTCAATTCTCATGTACTTAACAAGGCAGACTTGACTTGAAATAACATACTTTAATTGAGTTCGATATGATTAGCCCTATAAATGTGATTTGAACCAAACACGATTAGAACATTCAACTTGTTAGAAATTTCGTTGCAGGCTTGGAGCAATGGTGTGTATAAGAGTGTGGTGCATCGAGTTGTTGCAAATCCAAGAGTGGAAAGGTTTTCAATTGCGTATTTCTTGTGTCCATCACGTGATGGAGTTATACAAAGTATCAAAGAGCCTTCTATTTATAGGAAGTTTAGCTTTGGAGAGTACAGACAACAAGTTCAACAAGATGTTGAAGAATTTGGTCATAAGATAGGACTTTCTCGTTTCCTCATTTCTAACTAAAACCCACATATAATGTCCACGTTGAAGGATAACATACTACTATACTAGCCTACTAGGATGTTTATGTATCAATGTACGAACTTCATGTGCCACCTACCTATTTTCATGTACTTCATATCTTCATTAGGAATGACAACTGATCGGATTCGGGTCGGATGTGGCTAAATCCGAATCCGATCCGTTTAGTAAACGGACCCTGGACACGGATCTAAATCCAAGTCTGAATCCGAAAAATCCGAGTCCGAATCCGAAAAATCCGAGTCCGAATCCGATCCGACTAGTAATTTTCGGATCCGAATCTGGTCCGTTTATTCGGACCTCCGAAATGGTCCGAATATTTTTTTTATTATTTTTATTTTTTGTAATGTCATATACCTATAATTGCTTGTATTGTCATACCAATTAAAGTATAAACATAACATATTTAAATTATAAACTAAGTTACATAACAAAATTTTGCTACAAAACAAGCAAATAATTGTCCCAAGTTATAGAGCATATGCTTATACTCTCGGATTCGGACTCGGATCGGACTCCGTCGGACTTTGCGTAGGGTCCAAGTCCGATCCACCTCCTATTCGGATTCGGATCTATTTTATCGGATTCAGACTAGTTTTAAACGGATTCGAATCGGATTTTTTCCTTCGGATCAGATCGGATTCGAATCGAACTCGGATTAAATTGTCATCCCTAATCTTCATGTATTTACTCGTAACCCAAAAAAAAAAAAAAAAAGGAAAAAAAACCAGTTTATGATATGATTATTCCTACCTTTAAAAAAGTATAAGAAAATACTTATGAATAGTGTGAGGACAATTATATGCTTAATATATTTGTTTACTTATATATCTCTATTGATATGATGTTAATTGGTTTGAAGCTTTTACTTGTGTAATTTTATGATTTAATTCTTGTGAATAGTGTCAAGGCAATTACACCCTCTAAATTGATGATTTAGCTATTTGCTCTCGTTATCCTGAATTGTTTTTTTTTAAAAATCTTAAAAATTGTGGGGGTGATTTCCATAAAAATTGTTCAAAGATTCAAAAATTCCCAAATTACATTCTTTTTACAAAAAATTCCCCCCATGCCGTCCAACTCAGCATTTAAATTAATTAATTTTTTTTTACAACTTACTAGTAAACCGCTAATTCAATTAGCGGTTTAGTTGTTAGGTGAAATAATCTCCATAATTGTATGCACAAATTCTTATAAAACCGCTAATTGAATTAGCGGTTTTATCCTTTATGAAACCGCTAATTCAATTAGCGGTTTTGTGTTGAATGATTTTTTTTTTTAAAATAAAAACACAACAAACTTGCTTATGTGGACGGTATGGAGGGAATATTTTGTAAAAAGGGAGTAATTTGGAAATTTTAGCCTTTTTAAACATTATCTATGGAAAACACCTAAAATAGTGTCACAACATTTATACATACTTATATATTATTCCTCCGTTTTTATTTAATTGACACGTTTTGACTTCAGCACTATTCACACACCTCCTTTGATCGTGTTTTGTGCTTTATACGTAATGAAAAATATAGTCATGTGGGATCTTGTTAGATTCGTCACGTTATATACTTTCAAAATATCAACTTTGCATTATTTTTGTTTATCGATAATTAGAGATATTAATGATTGAATAAGTGCATTGACAAACGTGACTAAAGAAACGTACCAACTAAAAAAACACGGAGGAAATACTATTTTTTTAAAAAATATATTTTCCCTCATTGTGTTGCCAATAATCGAAATAATTCTTAAAAATAACGCGCTCATTAACCACTCTTGTCAGTTCAATGTATTCCATTAGTTTTTCCTACTTTATTTCAACTTTTTTTTTTTTTTTTTTTTTTTTTTTTTTAACATATGAAGGTATCATTTAGGCAATGAGGCCTATTCAATTCACCTGGATTGAAAGGCCCAAATAGCCCAATTGTGCAAGTGCAACAGAACCTTAAAAAATATCGTCAATTTCTAATTTTAGATTTAATTGTTTTTATATTTAATTTTTTTGCTTAGAAAAACAAAAAAAAAATGTTAGCCGCGACTAGGTTCAGTCTCCCAAACCCGAGCCCGAGCCCACCTGAACCCAAACCAACCATTTCTCTCTCCTCCGAACCTCCCTCCAAACCTCAACCTCGGAAACTAAAGGGTAGCGCGAAGCTCAACCTCTGGTCCAGAGCTCGATCAATCCGGTCCGGCCGGAAATTGGATTTCCACGACAAACCTGTCCATGCAGCAGAACCGGTTGCTGAAGCTCCGGTTCGAACCGGTGATGGTTTATCTGATTCAGAGAGAGAAGATGACAAAGAGGGAAAAACGATATACATGGTTTCTGATGGCACTGGTTGGACGGCGGAGCATTCCGTTAGTGCGGCGTTAGGGCAGTTTGATCATTGTTTAGTTGATCATGGTTGTTCTGTTTGTACTCACTTGTTTTCTGGGGTAAGTTTTGCTGAAACATTTGTTAATTTTTTTTTAATTAACCTCTCAATTGTCATGTTTTTTTAATTTTATTCGTGTCGGACATAGGTACGTGTTTAAGTGTTAAGTACTACGGTATATGACTTGGTTGAGATATGGATTTTTCTATGAATTTGCCAATTTGGTCTGTTGAAGTGTCTATAGTCTATACTCAATGTTAAGCATATGACATGGGTAATTGAAGTGAAATGATGTATTCGAGTGGCATTGATGGACAAGAATGTAATATGGGTACTTGAGGTGAAATAATATGTTCTACCAGCATAGAGAATGCCTTGGAATGAACCACTTAAGAAGCATCAATTTATCTTTGAACAATAGTTTGTAGTGTTATAACATATTAGTAAATTATCTTTCATTGTGTATGATTTAATGAAAAGGTTGTCTTCACATTAACTATCTCTTAACAATGGTTTGTAGTGTCATAACAGATTATATTTTGTAAATTCTATTGTGTTGCTGTGGCTCCTGGCGGCGTCCAGTTCTGACTTTACATTGATCCTAAGTTCTTCTTAATGGCTTTAGAGTCTCAGTCACGGTGGGGATTGTGTCTAATGTCAATGAGTACCTGCATCTAATTAACAGTGGTTCAGTAACGATGGTGTCGTGTACTTGTTGTTGAATGTTAATGTGTGTTGTCTCTAGACAATTTAGTGTCTGTTGGTTAAGCAAGTGGAAGATAGAGTAACCTTAATTGTAAAAATCATTAGATCAAGGATCTTATAAGAATTCATGTTATTGTCTGATCTCTAGACCTTCGTTGGACAGCTCATAACCTCAAGGGTAGCTTTCCTCAGATCCCCCTGGTATATGGAAGAGTTACATAGAGGTGAAAATACGAATTAGTTGCTGATAGAATATTTAATTAGCGCTTTCTTTTGTTACTAATGAGTGATATTTGCAATTCTTGGATTACTGAAGGTGTGAATCTTCTCTTTATACCATGTGTGCTATTAAGTGCAAGGAAGGTTAGGTTGCCATGGTTTTCTATTCTATTTGCTGGACATTACGAGTTTTGTGTCTTTTTAATAGGCCTTGTTGAAGTGTTTTACTTGAGGTGAATGACCTTTCTCAGTAAGATAGATTGTTAAAAGTGAAGAACTTGAAAATTGCCTATATTTTCTTAAAACTTTTGGTTGTAATTTGAACTTTGCAAGCATGATTATTGCTGTTGTAGATGTGTTCTGCCTGCGATCTGTTTTACAACCTCTAAGATAATCTCTCTTATTAATTTTTTCTGTCAAACATGACTATCTATTATAAAAGGCTGATTTTTTATTCCGAGTAATTATAGCAACATACAAGATAGTGGAAACAGTGTCTTTGCTGTCCTGCCAATAATTTCTCTAGTTATCTCTTTATACTGCTTCCTGATTATATGTGCTTGATACTTGAGCAGGTAGATGACATTGAGCGACTTATAGAAGTTGTGAGACAAGCTGCAAAAGAAAATGCTCTGCTTGTCTATACACTTGCTGATCCTTCAATGGCTGATGCTGCAAGAAAAGCCTGCCAGTTATGGGGTGTACCATGCACCGATGTCCTTGGCCCAATAACTGAGGCAATTTCTTCTCACCTTGGAGTTTCTCCTTCAGGGCTTCCCCGTGGTGCGGGAGGTAGAATTTTATTGAGTGAAGACTACTTCCAAAGGATTGAAGCCATTGAGTTCACTATAAAACAAGATGATGGGGCTCTACCTCAGAACTTGCGCAAGGCTGATATTGTACTCACTGGTGTCTCTCGGACAGGAAAGACTCCTCTGTCAATTTACCTTGCACAAAAAGGATATAAAGTAGCAAACGTTCCTATTGTAATGGGTGTGGAATTACCCAAAGCTTTATTTGAGATAGACCCACACAAAGTTTTTGGTTTGACTATTGATCCGGTTGTTTTGCAAACAATTAGAAAATCACGAGCCAAGACCCTGGGCATAGCTGAACAGGATTTACACAACTATGCACAGATGGGTTATGTAAAAAAGGAGTTGGAACACGCGGGTAAAATTTTTGCACAAAATCCCAGCTGGCCTGTAATTGGTAAGTACTCAGATAGGCCTACTGCTCGTGTTAATTAGCATTTTTCTTTTTCGAGGGGTAAAAAGGATTGCACTGTATTTTTTATTTATTTATTTATTTATTTATTTTTTCTGATGATTTACTTCTTTCAGCATCAGCCATATTCTGAGTTCTGACATTAAGTTTAATTATTGACAGAGGTGACTAGCAAAGCCATCGAAGAGACAGCAGCTGTTATCTTGAGGTTATATTCTGACAGAAAGCAGAAGCGATCATTGCCCAGCATATCAAAACGCTATTAGTGATGTTGAGTTGATGACCGATCTTGATCTGAAGTTTCCGATGTGTGAATAAGGAGGCAGAGTAAGACATTGAACCCTTGTTTAACAAAGCTGATTGGCATATTTGCATAATATCCATACATATCATCAGTTCATGTACATCATTGAAGTCTCTACTCCTATAGTGTATATATGGTCCTTAATTTTGGTATTCTTTCATCATCAGACTCGACTGCCAGAGTTAGTACTACTATAGTACTACTATGTGTATAATCTGTATATGGCTGTTAAATGTTAATATCAATGGTCTGGATCAGAGGACGAGGTTGTTATCAATATTTGTATAGTCATAACGATAACAAGATGTCAATATATGTATTGGTAGCGAACTGTTCAGAATATGCAGTGTGGTAATTGCATGTTTTCAACAGGATTACATTTCTAGGGGAAATACTCCATAGCTGTTGTTTCATTTCAGGTCATAGTTGCTAATAACTGTCATCTGATTGAATTTTAGTCATTTTATACAACATTGTACAAAGTACAATACTAATGTGTTTGTGGGCTATGGACTTGAAATGGGTCTATGGGCCTTAAGATAACCACGTATTTTGGACCATTGCTCGGTCCCGCATGCGTAAATGGACTCTGACTCATGGGCCTTGCAGTGGATCTGTTAGCCCAAAGAATCATCCTTTGACTTTAGACCAAATATAATCATCATCATCAAAGAAGGAATCAAATTAATTTTAAGAAGGAATCAAATTAATTTTGAGAAGGAATCAAATTAATTTTAAGAAGGAATCAAATAATTAAAAGTGGCCCTTGGTTCTATTATTCTTTCCTTCCCAAACTACCACCAACGTGAATAAGTAACTACCAATTCTATAGTCCCAATTATTGTAGCCCTAAGTCCCTAACAACTATCTCTACCATACGACTATCAATGCTGTACCTTTGATGCACAAGCACAACTACCATTATCTCTTCAGCCCCCGTGTCTCGTGGAAATTTTATATCTTATAGTTGCATTGACCTCGTGTTGCAAAGTGCTATGAAGTATGTCTTACGGGCCGATATGGGCAATACCACTTGTACATACCGTTTGGTGTACGTAGCGCTCTATACTATGGAATGACTTAAGAATCTTAAGGGGCTTATTCCTACCCCGTTTCATACCCATAAATGTTATGGAGTGGTACGATATCAATAGCTCCGAGCCATACTTGGTTATCTACTAATAGTATGATACATATTTGCATTATTGAGGAAAAAACAAATTACATGTGAGTCATCTAGTAAATTATAGGTCGATATCAAATGAAATATTTGAGGATTTTACATACTTGTATATGTTGCGTATGTTTTCAAGCATACGATTAGTCTCTAAGTAAAAGCCTTCTTTACAAAATTAGTATTCCCTCCCCAACAAGTAGAAATCAAACTTCTTTCATTGCCTTCTTTTTATATTCACCTTTACTATCAAAGTATCAAATCTGCTATCTTTTTTCCTTTGATTCTTCTAATTAACATCTTTTCACTATCTTTCTTTTTATTTTTACCTTTAATCAACCAAAGCTCCTCCATCGACTTTAAGAGAAAAAAGCCTTAAGGGATGGAGGTTGTACAACCGGTGGTGCAAAAATCCCTCTCCATATTTTCCACCTTCATCTATGGCTCGAATTTGCAACTTGCTAACTATACCTTTCGCATCTTTCTTATATATTAAGGTGTTTTAGTCTTATCTTTGTTTCTCTAATTATCTAAACATTCTAAATAGCAGAAAAATGTGAGTACAAGTAACTCCAACTTTATTTTTTCTTTGGCAGGCCCCAACAAAAAGTAACAAGGGGAAAACAAAGCCCACTTTTTCTAGCGAGAAGGGTATATATTGAGTAGTAATGATGTTGCTTTTGCAAGCACAAAGGTTGAACGGCATATTTAAGTGAATAAAATTGAGTGCCTACTACTCAACACATGGATATTGAAAGTAAAATACACCCAAAACATCACTAAAAGGAAAAAAAAAAAACATCAAACTTTAATTCCAGAGATAAGTGTAACTAAAAATATTCTTTGCTCGTTTAATGATTAAATTAATATTTCTAGGTGCACTCGGGTATATACAAATGATACAAGTATTCACCAAACAGACAAAAAGAAAGCAATATGCATCCAAGCGCACGAGTACAATAGGGGGAATTTCTTGTTGCAAGAGCTAAACAACACAAAATTATTCCTTCACTTCTTCACATGAAACCCACACATAACAAAAAGCTAATTTGGTGCGGTTTTTTAACTATCAAAAGTACAAAAAAATTAAAGTTAAAAGGAAGATTAATGGGGCTGCTAAGATCAGCAAAAAGCTAAAGTTATTAAAGCTTTCTGAACATTCTATAACATATTTTGAAGTATGAATCTTTCATAGTGCTATTCTTTGCTGTATAACTCATGCAGCCCCCAACATTCCATCTGTGTAGCTCAAATCTACGCCACAACTTAACGAAAAAAGACGAAACTTTTCCATACTGTTTCGAATTCTGACAAAATACTCTGTACAATTCTCAATTGTGTTGGTGTTGAATCATTACTGCCAATCTAAGACACCCTCTACACCATCAGCCTTACTCGTAGACAGCGTGAAGTAAATGAGCAACATCGTTCCCATACTCGATCTGTTATAAGAATTTCAGAATATCGCGTTAGTTGACAGTATCAGTCTGACAAACAGAGTGGATTTGAATGCAGAATAACTAAAAAGACTTACAGAGTGGCAAACAGGAGGAGGATTCTTTTAGGGTCAGAATACCAACTGTATGAAGATCGTTTGAAACTCGATCTCTTTCCCATTCTACCATCTGCCATAGTGTTCACGCCGCCTGTTTTGATTGTGATCTGATGCTGCGGTTGCTGCTGGTGGTTGTTAGCCGCGTGATCTTGGGACCCCATTGGTAGTGTAGGAGAAGGACACTTTTCTGGCGTGCTTAGACTGCTTACTACTTGAGCAGCTGCAAAATTTAAAGGAACTTTTAGTGTATTGGACTATTGGGGAAAATATGGCATCAGTAGTTAAGTTTTCCATTATTCAATGTTCCCTCAGAAGTGCACAACACAAACATTGCATTGGTGGTATAAAGGCGGTACAATATACAAGTAATACATTTTCTGCATTATTAACAAAACAATCAATGAAACTTCAATTTAGGTTTACACAATTATGGACCTCACAACCATATTGATACACATTGCGTTACTGGAACTTCTCATTTCATTTCAATTGGCCTATATTATAGCCTTAGCACTTATGCGAGTTGACACTATACATTTCATTTTGAGCCTAAAATATGGAAATTTTTCATAAGATAGTCAAATCCGACACTAGAACATCCAGATATGTACATGTAAGTGACCCTTGTATCCGAGTTTGAGTAACATAGCACATCTTTGACATACACTGTCACAGCATTATAATTTCATTAAAAATCCAAAGGTCAACTTTTGACATCTATGTTATTTATGAGGCCTGAAAACAACAACTCAGACATAATACAGCTGAGCAAGTGGTTTAATTCCATTGCAAAATATTTGTGTGGACCAACCCCACAATTTGCATACATAAATCAAATATTTGATTAAGTATTTTAATTTTTATTAACTAGCATGACTATAAAGCTACCTGGCACAGAGACGACTTAGCCACTACCTAAATTTATGTGCAATGTGACTCAGTACAGATTTCTGAAATCTGATAATACATAAAAAAATTTAAAAAATTAAATGAGTAGTGCTTTAGGCGTTATCCTAACATATCTTTCAATTGTAATAAGTCATGTTTGATGTTTAATGTTTGATTAATTGTTGACTACAAACATTTGGTTACGTGCAAAAACAACTAAACAAGTAGCACCAGCAATAAGGGAAAAGATAATGACAATGATAATCATGATTATGATAGTATTCATAATCCTAATGCCAACTGTGTCAATATCATTGCTAAACACCATTTTCGAAGGACACGTGGATACGGATTAATGAGGACATAAAATAAATACCAAGGATTCTCTCCGATTACTAGACCATCTTATCTCAATTCCACCCGTAACCCGGCTGTCTAAAATACTGGAGAAGATCCCAGTATGTTATAAATTAGTAATACGTGTACTAATTAGTCTAAGATTATAATATAACTCAAGTATGCTAATTCAAACTGTCTGACAGCTGAGAAATGAGAAGACTTACCAAAAATCAAATAATAAATTTGATCAAATCCCGCGTTAAGGTATAAAAAAATCAGAACAATTCTTTATATTTCAAAATCAATTATAAGTTAATCATTATAAAGCTTCTCTTTAAATGGAGCATTAGCATTTCTCTTCAATTTTTTAATCTATAAACCAAAAAACATTTAACTAGTTTGATTTACACAAGTTCTCTGATATACTACCACAAAGGCCAAAATTGTGCTAGCTATTACTACAAACGTTCGATCAAATCTAACACGAAATCGAATATAAAAAAATCATACTAAAACATTATTGTAACTCATCACCATTTCGCCTTTTAAACAAGTCATTTGCTGCGTACTTTTTATTTATGACACGTATCGTAACAGATTAAGGAGTGGAGTTATCTAGTTTTAACCAATTCAATCAAAGTGCCCTTGCCCATCCCACATCCCTTGTATGAAAATGATGTAGTAAGAACTATGGGCCCACAATGGAAGCTACTTAGGACAGGCTCATCAAAGGATAGGTATATTCACTATCATCAACTTAATCAAAAATATGATGTCACATCAAAGATTAAACTACATAACATACAATTAAGTCAATGATACATCATATATTACGCTCAATTTCAAATTAGTCAGATTTCAAATTAGTCGGAATCTAGTGCACTGTAACATACTGTGTGGTTTAACATTAAACTACGAAAAAGATATAATTAAGATAATGTCATACCTCTAGGGGATGAGGCAGGAGGAAGGGTGTCTCTGTCATTAAGCTTCCTCTCGGCGCCACGCTGAGGAACTTTTCTAGAAAGGCTTCTTTGCAACTTTTATATGTCCACATATTAAAAAATAAAAACAAAATCAATAAAAAGAAACATCATTAGCAAGCAAATGGCATGATTCACCTAAACCAAACACATAATAACAAACTATTCAATTTTTTTATACATACATAAATAAATATATAATTTTTGTAAATTCAATAAATTTCACCGAAAAATCGTTACAATTCTTTCAACCGCTCAATACAAAACACACAAAAAGTAGCCCACGTTACAAGTCCTTGCCAAATGCCATTTTTCTATGCAAACATTACAAAATTCTACTAACAATATCTTTCCTCTTTTAGGACATACCATATGAAATTTCATAATTTACATGTAATTCCAAATTTATGGAATTTAAAAGGAATACATAACTAGTTACAAACCAAATTCCCCAACATACTTGGTTGTTGTTATTGTAATTAAAAGTTTGGATTTACATTAAGTTTTATTTAGGACGACACACCGTATAATTTCATAAATGTAACCTTACATCAAATTCAAAACTACAAGAATGTAACATATAATCTCTTTAATCTTGAATGAGTGCATCTACTTATAAGTGAGTTATACACAAAAATTAAAGATTGACTATTGACTTTATTATGTTGCTTTTCAAATACACCATTGGAATAAAAGTAACTTTAACAAGTAGTATAAAAATAAAAATAAAAATAAAAATTATATGAGAAAATAAAGTGGATAGAATTGATGACAAAATTCCAAGGGAAAAAAAAAAAATCTTATCCCAATAATGGCCGAAAGTTAAAAGGTAGACATCACATATAAATCAATAATCACGCCATAATATGGACCAAGCAGGATTAATATTCATAATAAGAAACCATCTAATCCAACCACCAATTATTAACATAACAAAACGGTTTAGATAAACATAAAATGAAAAAGTATTTATTTTTAAAAATATACAAGTATGTATTAATTTAGGAATGTACACAAAAACACATGTCAATTCTTTCGATAACTGCTATTTGAAATTAAGAAAAAAAAATATGAACTTACAGTAATTCTTGATGAATTTGTAATAGTTGAGTTCTGTTTGTCAATTACACAATCGGAGAAATTCTCTAAGTCAACTATGTAACAATCAGATTTATCACCACCATTTTCATACTTAAAACCATTCATTTGATCATCATAAACCCCTGTTTTTTTATTGCCCAATGAATTTTCTCCAAGAAATTCAGCCTTCAATTCCTGAAAATAATTCCAAAACAAAGATAAATTTTTTTTAAAAAACAGAGGAATATTAGTAATAAATTGAAATGATTGATTACACATTTACACAGTACCCAATAAAACAGTTGATCCAAAAATAGAATTCTTTTCTTTTTTCTGAAAAAAATGCTTACCATTTTCGGATAATCCGCTTTTTCCCTGTTTGATTGCTGGAAAACCCAAAATAAGGGAAAAATTGAAGAATTTAGCGTAATTAACCAGAGTTATAATCTGGGAATTTATAAATATTCAAGAACAAAAGAAAGAAACTGACTTTAAAGTCAAATTTTTATGAGAATTCTGTGAAAGAATTTAGGCTAGGTTTGGTTTATCAAGAAATATATTTATACAAGAATATATCATAAAATGTAGTGAAAAATTAAAAAGAAAAAATTGGTGATGGGTAATTTATGATGTTGATTGGATTTGTGTAAGTCAAAGTTTAAAGAAGAAGAAAGATGAAATTTTTGAATAAAAAAGATATGTAGGGTGGAATTTTTATAACTTGGTGTGTAACTGCTACGCCTCTGTTTTTGAGGAGAGAGAAAGTGAAGCAAAGGTTGTGATGATGTAAGTGGCTAGTAGGAAGGTTGGTCTTATTTATAATTTCATAAAAAACTATAGGTTATACGAATAATAATATGGATTTAATTTAATTTGTGTGATTATAATCTTCTAGGATAATTCCCAATCACGGGCAATATTAGTATTTTTTAGATCTTTCTAGTTCTTACCTACTAAAGTACAAAACCTTAAGTAGGTATTAGTTTTATGCCTACCTCGTCTCTAGCTTCATGGAACGAAGTCATGAACATGTCAAAATTTCATGTTCGGTGTATATTTTTGTGTCTTGTTTTGTTAAGGTCTCGTGGATATCAATGAGTTTAGTTGGTTGGTGAAGTCTTAAAAAATACTACGTAAAACGTTACTTTTATGTACGCTGAACATGACATTAATTTTGCAAACCGATTAACAGTGATATTAGATGTATAATGATCCTTAAATCCTTAATACATTTATGTGATTCAATATCTCACCCTATTAGGTTTAGGTGCAATTAACCTTTGATTATTGTATATCTTTGTTATCTTTCAAGGATATTAGTAAATTTTTCTGAAATAGAATATTATTATATGGTACACCTTTAATATTTATGCTCCCAACCCTATTATGATTTTTTTTGCCTCTTTTATGAATCAAGTACTTGTTCAATTAATTCAAAGAAAGTATTGATTTTATTTTAGGATGAAAAATACGTTTTTATCTAATTCATTGATAAGTGAAAACTAGAAAACTAATAGTGAAACAAAACATCATACATCTTTAATTTTACTCCCTCTGTTTTTTTAAGTGCCCATTGGAACTTGGCTCACATGTCGATGCAAAACTTTGATCAATAATATGTTTAAGTATGAATTATAACAATGAAATATTAATAAGATTTCATTGAAACGATTCCAACAAGTATCCACAAGATAAATTTTTTTCTTATATATAATTTACAAACATTGTTTAAAGTGAGACAAGTAAATAGTGCAAAAAGTCTCAATATATGATACTTAATAAAATGAAAGGAGTACCATTCTTTTTAGCAATCAACTGGCTATGCATATTTTCATATTTGTCATATTACTTGATAAAGTAGTTATCATTTAATAACTACAGTATTTACTAAACACTTTGACACAAACATATAAAATTAACTCATAAAACTAGTCAAATCAGCTCCGATCATCATACAAACAAGTGAACAACTAATGTATCCGGTTAGCATTTAACCTCTCAGGTGCCAAAACAAGGTCATAGTATTAATTCATTTGAGCTTATTATCCTGAAAATAACTTATCTTAAGATCTTAACTTACTTATCTTGATTTTTTCTTGAAAGTAGTAGTTTTCATTTGCATGGAAGCCTAAAACACAAGTGCAACCAATAGGGAAAAATCTATCAAAAATCAACGTACTTTTTGGCCCCATATTTCAAGTTTCAATGCAATTACAAGAGACCCACGAAATTTGCAGCGCATTTTGGTCCCATTTATGTTTTGAAATAAAACTATACGATCAAATAATACATACACTTTGGCCACTAATTTGTAGCAAGTGACACGTGTCTACTTGACCTTTAGACTTATGGGGTATGAGTGAGTGTAAGACCTGAGAGCCACGCGATCATAAATAAAGAAGCAGCCAAAAACAAGCTATTGATCTTCATATCTTGAGAATTGAAAGGTACAATACTAATATTTGAAAACATTTAGATATAATGCGAATAAGAGAGTGCAATGTTATATTTTGTTCATCTGAATTTCACATATATGAATTTACATCTTGAAATTAATTTTAGTTATAAATTGAATTTAAGTAGCTCTAATTAATTAGGACATGTGCATATGTCACTTAAAAAGAAACGAAGAAAGTACCTATTAATGTTATGTTTAGTTTGATTTTTAACTTTAATTGATCAACCAAACAATCAACGCATTACATAGTATCAGAGGCAGGTTGAGTTGTGTTGTGATCTGGGCCAATATTATGGATAACTCACATGTGAGGTCGAGTGTTGAGCCATGAGAAACCCACATATGAGTTATGTGTTATCCCACATTAATTGAGTGTAAAAGTGAAAGTTTGTATTGAAATGTGTAACCTACATTGAAAAAAGAAGATAATTGTGTCCACTTTATAAGGCTAATGGACTACTCCTCTTTCACTGCCATATGGTTTTGAGGTAGAACCTCCTTGGTCGAGTAAAGTAGACACTTATGGCGGGATGGTGTGACTCAGGCCCGTTTTACACCTCATGTAATTAATCATCAATATATATCCTAAAAAAATTTCATTCCAGAATTATTTATTATCTGGCACCTTAGTTTTTATTTATGTTATTCTTGGCCATGTAGCTAGTATATATGAATATGATCGATCAATTCAACAAGGTAATGATAGTTTTGGGGTCACTATCAACAAGTTTATTAATAGTTAAATGATAAATGGCATATCTCGATCGATTGCTCTTCTAGAAGTGGGATGGCCTATGAATTTAATCATTGAGCTACATAACTTGACATCCACCATAACTTTCTAAGGCCATATTATGATTGTAAACTAATTGTAACAATAAGACATCATTATGATCTCCTCAATACGTTTTACCATTAAATTATGAAGAAATGATAATGGAACATTTGATGTTCTTTTGAAAGCCTATTTTAAAACTAATCACGTTTTAAAAAATATTGGGTTTTATAATTAAATATATCCAGAGAAAGATTTTGAATTCTTATCATGTTTTTAATAATTTCAAGGTTTATCTTTCAATTTTTTAATAGGGTAGTACAAATATAATTTTCAAGTTTTAGCTTTAGAAAGGGAGATGTAATAGTTTAATTAGGTACTTAAATTTGGTAGAGATAGATATAATTAATGATTAAAGTTTGTCTACATTATTTGCATTTTAACTAATTGTTTAGCTAGTTAAAGTCATTCTGAGCCTTTATATAACCGATTATTGACATACTACATCCGTTAAATATTAGTTGCAACTTGTAACTTTGAAATATTTGATGTCTCTTAAATAATACCCCAAAGTTGCAACTAATATTTAACGGAGGTAGTATATGGTTTCACAAAATATTATATCACCCTAGGATAATCTTCCACTATCACTTGAAATTTTGACACTTGGTCCTGAAATCTTTGAAAATGACTTGATTTTTTGGATTATAGCCTTTAATTTCGAAATATTTTCAACCATTTTGGATCTGAGAAGGAAAAGGATCGAGGTGCTTTCCATGGATTCATAATATTTTCGAAATCTTTGAAATATTTTCACTCACTTAGGTGGTTGAAATAATCCACTTTGTCTCTTCATTATATATCCATTTAACCATATAAGGACATGCCTCCCGTTATTGACTCTAATTAAGGCTGCCACAATCTTTTATGTGACCGATTAGTGGATGTGTATATTTTTAAACAACCTTTTTGACCCATGGCGCACCTCTCATCATCATTTGAATTTTCGACATTGATTCTTGAAAATCTTCAAAAATGACCTACTATTTTGGATGATAGACTTCAAATTTAGGCTCTGAACAATAATTTAAGATTGGACAAGTTTATATATCGAGATGCTTCTTAGGGTAGTTAAAGGACCCAAAAAGGCATATCTAATTCTGGAGTACTAATTAAGAAAATTATACTCCATGTGAATTTAAAGTTAATTAGCAAGAGGATTATCTAAAAATTGACTAATATTTAATGAGCGAAGAAGTTCAAATGTTTTGTTTTTAGTAAAAATATTACCATGATGGAGAGGGCTTTACTCCCAATTTAAGGTTTCTAATTTTATATGATATCAGAACCGTAAAAATATACTCGTAGAAAACAGTAAAATTTATTCAGGGGTGGATTTCTATTTTGAAATCTAAGGTGTCAAGTGACCCCACTAATTAAAGCCAGGGTTTAAGGAATACATAACGTTAGTGAAAAAATAGATTTTATGTTGTATAGGTAATAGGTTAGACCACAGAGAAGATCTTTATTAAATTTAAATTATTTACAAAAATATCAAACAAATATCTTCGATTCCTCCGTTGCAAGCCTAAGCTTGGGCAGATTTGGGAGTGATAGAGAATATCCATAGAATATTCTCATCCTAGGTTTAGATTATTTTATATGATTATCTTTGATATCTATACATATCTTATAGTTACCTAATATGATTAGGTTACTCATTGTAACCCTATAAATATTGATCTATGGAAATCACTCTAATCAAGGAGTTTAGATTATCTGACATGGTATCACAGCTTAGGTTAGATCTTGGGATTGTTTATATCTAAAATTTTCTCTTCCCCTGCCGGTGGGTTAGAAAATTAAACCCACCGGCGGGATTCACAAACAATTACATAAAACACACTTTTTTTTTGCTTCCGCGTTTTAATTATGGAGTACGATGGTTGACCATCACCGGCAACCCCTCTTGTGCTCCAACTAATTCCCACCACACATAGGAGCTTTGTGCACCACCTCTACCTCTTGGTTCTCCACCTAATACGCCACCTAGCTCACTCATAGTCTTCCTTCTTTAGCCTAATCTGTGAGTGAAATGCAATCTTGCATAGCGTATCCGATGACTGATAATAGTCTTGGATGAGCCAGACCCACGAGACGAACCACCCTTTTGTTTGTCTTTTTTTTTTCTCAATGTCGTTGTTGGCCTCCGCCACCTTAGTTACATTGTAGTCTTGCTCCTGACCCCTTCTACTTGGCAGGAGCCTTGTTCAACTACACTACAATAACTTAAAGGGAGTATTGGATTTTTGGCACTAACAACACTTATATTTTTTACCTTTTCAATTTATTGTTAATTTTAATTATCACAAGTACATGCGGTGGAATTTGTTATTCTCTAAGTCCAACCGCTACTTAGCTTGTTTTAATTTGGTGGAATTTATCTTGTTGTGTAGGTCAATTTTTTTTTAGAGGTAAACACTTACTAGTGGTTAAGTGGTGTGGGATTTATGCTATCTTATTTGTTTTTTCTTCAACTGTGATTTCCCGTAGTAGTGTAGTGTCTTCTTCC